AAAGGACAATAGAGAGACTACTCTCAAGACCATCTGACATCTGAGCTCAACTAATCTTGACCTTGGAGTGCAAGCCATGCATCTTTAGGAATACTGGGTTAGTTAGCTTAAACTAAGTTCTTTAGGGCTTGTGGATACACTTGTATTCATGTGTTAAAGTGGATTTGGTGGAAATTAGTTAATTTTTCACCCCAACCACCTCAATACGTGTGGTTTGAGGTGGACAGGAGTGTATACAAATAAGGCCTAATTGGTTAACACTCAGTTTAAGTTAATTAACTTGGGTGGGTCCTCTCACTATATTTCGCAAACAAAAATATTGTTGATTACGAAAAAATGCTATTGTTCATATTGCCATGATTTGATATTGAATTTATATCTCAAAGATGCAAACACAAAAATTAATATCATGCAGTGGTGGTTTCAGACCTTTAATTTAGTGTGCAAAGCTTCCACTCTTACTCCTCTACTTCTTATATAGCACCAACTTGTTCTTATCTTCTCTCTCTTTCTTAAAAAACCCTCTATCTCCTTGTTTTCTTAACACTCTTCCTCTGCTGCTTTTGCAGTACCATTTGGTGACACTGGATTGCCTTTTCAGAGGGCACTCTCAAAATTGGATCCATTTCATATAAGCACTATTTTGTATTTTTGTCCACATGTACAGCTTAAGGATCATCCTCAGGTGTATCTTAAAGTCCAAACTCTGAACCTTCATCCCTTTGTAATCAAGTTCAGGCTACCCTTCACCACCTTACCTTACGCATTTCGTGGAACTAGGAAATTTACAAATAAATGCTAATCCTAAATTTCACTGTCTTTTCTCTAACTCAACAATCGTTGTTCAGAGCATGGAACCTCTCTCATAAATTTATTGGTATAGAACCTTAAAAGGAGGGGCTAGAGGTGTGAAAAAAGAGAATATGTCCGTCGATATTATTTTGTGGATCTAGCCCAGTTTGTAATGATACACATTCAATTGAAGCAATAGGCACATGATCCAACACAACGAAACTGCCAAGTCAACGTCAAAAACTCACATATACAGTAAAAGATTCCAAGATTCCAAGTTGTCGCTCAGATTTCCTTATGTTTAGTACGCAACCAAATGCAACATGGTTGTTGCTGAAATGGAGACAGCAAATGGATAGGGTTTTTTAATCTGGCAACAAGTCAACTAATTCTTCGCTCTTGTGGCTGTACATTCACTCAAATTTGCCTATCTGCTCTAAGCATTTGGTCAACAGAACGTAGAGAGCCTATAATACTCAACAAATTGCAACCATAAAGATTCCACACTGGTTTGAAATAGAAGTGTGCACGTAGAGATGGTCAGGAAGAACCATGCACTAGTTGACCTTGGATGAGATTCGCTTTTCTAGAGCACAGCTAAAAAACTGAGGTTCAAATTCAAATGACTGAAATTTGTAAGAAAAAAAATTGTTATCTCGTCGATGTGTCTTTTACAGGGAGGAGACAACAATCTCTACTGCTGCTTTTCAGGGCCTTTTTTTGAAGGTCTTTTCAGTGCCATTTGTTGACATTGGGTTACATTTGACAGGCTTTGAAAAAGTTGGATGGAATTCATGTAAGCTTTCCTACAACTCCAGGATTCAGCGGATTTCATGTAGGCTTTAACTGGGCCGTATTATCTTACTGTAGTCTGTGGGCTGGGTTGTTATCTATCTGGGCTGGGGATCATCCGACAATGGGCCGTCACCAATGTTTGCAAATGGCGACCGGAGTGGTGGCCCATGCTCCAATTGGCTCGTCCCTCGTCAGAGCTCTCTGATCAGACATTCAGACGTCAACGTCGAGCGATTTCTCTTTTCTTTTCTTTTTCGTTTGATGAGAATGCACGTCGAGCGATTTCGGTACAGAATCGTGCGGAATTTCCGGGATATTTGAAAGGTTTGAGGCAGACAGGCCAACAGACTGTTTGAAAGGACAGTTTCGTTGCCCATTCTAGTTTTTTTGGTATTTATAAAAATGTTTGCGCTGACGAAATGTTTTTTTATTGCGGAATAAAAGTTGATGGCCTTTCGGTGTTATCTGTTGCGTCCTTTTTTGTTCGCGACTCGCGAGATTCGTCAAGTCTTGCCTAAACCATGAAGCGAAGAATCATTTTTTTTATATAAAAAAAGAACCATTCTTTTTCGGTTTTATATTTAGCTTGAACTTTTCTGGGATAGGGCAGTGTGAACCTTCACCGGACTTCTTGGTCTCCACGGCACCAACCACATTCATTAATTTTGGAGAGACTCTAAAATTTTTAAATTCCTCATACAAAATTTGAGTAGCATGAGACCGCAATTTGCACAGCAGGTAGCACATAAAGCTCTCCAAAATATTTAGTTCTCTGATGGCTTTTTGTATCACTAATTCTGCCATACTCATACCATTTTGTATCACTAATTCTGCCATACTCATACCATTTTGTATCACTAATTCTGCCATACTCATACCATTTTGTATCACTAATTCTGCCATACTCATACCAACCCAGTTCATGCCCATCTGGACTAGTTAGTTTTTTTTTTTTGATTTAGTTACGCCTTGTTCCTTTGATCTTTTTAACCCGATGAATAGTGTTAGTCTTAGATAAATATTGTCAGGACCAATTCAAAAGATTCCATTTCCAACTTGTAATTAGTTATTTTTTTTTTACTTACATTTAACTCTAAATGGCTAAAGTTTGTGAGAGAGTGAAAAGTTGATAGGATGCATCTAAACAAGGCCTTAGTGTTAGAGACTCAGGGTATTCGGCTGCCATCCACACTTTGTTACACTTTCACTCTAAACAAGTTTGACCAAGTTGATAGGTGTTTTGTTAGCAATTAAACTTAGACAAGACTTTTTAGGCTCTACATGTTATGGAATAAAAAAGTATGGAAAAATCTCTTATGATAAATTGTGGCTCCAAAATTGTAACCACACTTGCCTAAGATTAGTTGTGACAAATTGTGGCCTGAATCAAACAGCCCCTCAAACTCACATTCCATCTCTATCAAAAAGAAAAGAAAAAAACACTCACATACCATCATGGCACACACTAGGTGCATTCAAAACACTGCAATGCACATCATATTCAGAATTTCAGATTACAGCTCAAAGCATGAAAGCCTACATAAAACTGCACTGCGGCACCACGGGCGCCACCAGTTCACCACCGTATCGCTCCAGCATCTCAGAAGTACCAAAGCAGCAAAGGCAAGAAACCTACCTTCACATAATGAAGTCATCCTCATCATGCTGCCGTCATGAATGGGTGCACAAAATCTCCACCCAAGGACAAAGCTGCTGACTTTGCGGTCGTTGATTGAGCACATCAGCACATAATAGTAGTATGCAAATCTGGCCCAGTGTCCCTTTCCATGCACCCACCTCACCTCCCTACCAAGAAGCAACCAAAAAAGGACAAGAACACCAAAAGAAAACAGGGGGGAGGAAAACATGGAGAACTGCAGGAACCCACTTTATTTGGCCTAAATCTATAGTACAGCATTTGGACCGCTCCACTGGCTGCTTCCAGGTAGATATAGCTAACCAAAAAAGAAATCAAGATCTGTGTGCTTCGGGTAGATATAACTAACAGAAGATTTGAAATGTGCACGTCCAAGCAGAACTCAGAACTACTTGATCCGTCCAACATAAAACATGATACATTTACATTGAGTGTAATGTGTTGTTTAATGGTTGCTTTAGTTAGTTGTTTTGTTAGTATTGACACTGCACTTTTGCTCTTTAGGCTTTTTTTAAAGAAGAGCCTGATCTTCAGGCTTTAAACAAGGGCAAGCAAGCAAAGACAGGTGTAAGCCTGCTGCAAGACGTTAACCCTACACTGACCGATGGCTTGAAAGGCAAGCCAATGGTGCCATGACACAAATGATGTATTTTAAGAAGGCGTGATATTGACATATGTAATATATGCAACAGATGCTACAAACCATCACTGCATGTACCGACAGATTGTCTCCATGCAAATACACAGGATGATCATGCTAACTACGACCCTATTACGTGCCAACTTCTTCATCATCTTTAGCCACCACGCAGCTCTCATTGGGAAAAAAAGAAAAGAAACAAGATGCACAAAAAAAAAAATACTCACAAGAGGCAGCTGGGGCCATTCGCCACCAACACCGCCATCATACCCTCTGAGCGTGGCATCCAACTTTTGCCAAAGAGCAACTGCAGGCGCAAAACAAAGTAGGTTTGGTGCTGGTTGCTCCTCTCTGAAGAATTCCAAAGGGAATGGATGGATCAGCTTACGCTTGTTCATCACATCACAACCCTGCTGGGGAATACAAAATTTCCGTTATATTCTTTTCATGAACCTTGCCAAGACCAAGAAATGGTTCAGTATTTACAGCAGCAAGTATGATCTTGCAATCTTCTGCATAATATCAGAGTTAATACAAGGTCTTGTTCTTTTACAGGTTAACAGTTTGCAAGTATGTGACAAAGCATCCTTCTACTATCTGTTTGTATACGTGTGGTTATAAATGTGATAATACTAAGAAAATATGTATTGATAATATAGTCAATAACAGCAATTTTCAATACTATCCGGAAGTAAATATATACCCAACTGTTTTGGATCAGACGCAATCAAATATGAAATTCTCAACTGAATGCAATTAAGCTATTACTCTTGCAAGTTAACAGTTCCAAATTTGTGAATACGTGAGAAGGTGGTAAGGGTAACAAGGCGCTACAGTCTTATTACGTGAGGTTAGTAACCATACCATAAACAGTTGCACAGCGTTTCACAAATAGCATCCGAAAAGAAAAATAAACCCACAAGATTTGACACACACAACAATCTAATATGGCATGCCCATTGCCCACTGATTATGATCAATTTCTTAATTCCTGCTGTCTGTTTCTGAATTCAACCTAACAAAACTTGGCAAACTAGAAACTGAAACAAATGCAGAAAGAATAAAAGTTAATTACCTCAGATCTTCCAGTTGTGCAAACGGAGGGAGGCAAGCAGCCTAGTCACGAAGAATGACAGAGTCGGCGATCTTCATGAGCGGCGCAAGGCATCCGGGCGCGAATTTGCGCGCAAACATGTGGGAGTATGTGCCATTGGACTTCCTGAGGTCCCTGATGAGCTCCGGGGACACCTCCTCCGGCTGGTAGGTGTGCGGATGGCCGTCGAAAGAGTCGGTCCAGTTGACCCTGGTGAGCGTGAACTTGGTGCATCCGGCGGGGTCCTGCATGTCCAGCAGCGTGGGGAAGTAGTGCTCCTCCGGGTAGCACGAGAACTTCCTCTTGACGAGGCACGGCATCTTGAACTTGTTCCAGAGCCTCCTGTCCCTGACCACCATGACGGCGTGCCTCTTGGTGAGCACGAAGAACTGGGAGCCGACGCGGAAGCTCTCGTAGGGCACCTCGGGCAGCATCACGTCGTCGCCGCGCGCGTAGTAGCGGTCGTGCAGCGTGGGCTCGGCGTCGAGGATCTCGATGAAGCTGCGGTGGCGGCCGCGCGGGCCGGCATTGTCGGCGGCGAGCGTGCGGTAGAGCGCCGGGAAGGGCCGCAGCGGGACGCAGGACTGGGAGAGCAGCGCGAAGAAGTGGTTGGCCGGGTCGTCGAGCAGCGCGGTGGCGAGGAGGCGGCGCGCGGCGGAGATGAGCGTGGCGGAGGCGCGCGCGGTGGCTTTTCCCCGGATGACGTGGCCCCGGAAGGAGGGCGTGGGCGGGAGGAGCAGCGCCGCGGCCGGGTCGGCGTGGACGTACACGTTGAGGAGGTCGTGGTGGCCCGCGAAGAACTTCTCCCAGAGCGGCGCGAAGACGAGGTCGGAGTTGGTGAGGAAGAGGAAGGCCACCTTCTGCTTCCTCTGTCGGTGGGCGGCGCCGAAGAAGCGCGAGGTGGAGGAGGCGGAGCCGGTCTTGGAGGGGGCGGCGGAGAGGAGCACGGCGCGGCGGAACAGCGCGAGGTCCTCCGTCTCGTCGGCGTCCGGGATGGCCGGGAGCGTGCGGGGCGGGATGAGGCGCGGCGCGAGGAGGAAGACGGCCGGCACGGAGAGCACCAGCAGCAGCAGCGACAGCACGTACGGCGAGGCGGCGTACGGCGGCGCCATCTCCCCTGCTCCTCAGCCTTGCGACTGCGATCCTCTCTCTGGCCGGAACAGAACAGAGAACGGGATACGAAACCCCCGCGGCTCAGGTCAGGAGGGGTCGGTTCCCTGCCACGCGCGGGCCGGATCTCGCCGACACCACGGCGGAGGACGCGGGCATCGGCCGCCGCAGGAGGAGAACGCGCGAATTAGGGAACCCGCGAACCAGGACCAGGATCAGGAAACGGAAAGGGGGGAAGGCAGGCGCGGGAGGGAAACCGCCTGCCTCAGGCGCAGCAACGGGAACCGCCGTGCGGAGTGAAACGGGAAGGCGGCGCGGGGAATGGCGATGCGTGCGGCGGCGGATCCGATGAGGGTCTAGAGCCCAATCGCGCGGCGGGGGGCGGCGGGGGGAGGAGTGGAGACGAAGCAGAGCAGGGGTGGGGAAAGAGGAAGAGAGGGAGGAAGACACTTGTGTAGGAAGGGGAGTGACGGAGTATTAATAAAACTAGGGGATTGAAAAGTGTAAAACTAGTAATATCTTGTCTTGACTTAAAAATCAGTTTGTACGGTAAATGCTATTAAAGGGTATATTGGACCAATTAAAAAAATATAGAGGGGCAGTAGATCTAACTAAGATTAATTCGGAGGTTAACCATCTATTCCATGGTTGGAAGTGCACACAAGGTTATGCTCAGAGCACCTTTAAGATTAAACCCACTTTGTAAATCTTTATTTGGAGAGTTATGAGTAAAATTCGTTTTCTATATTTCTCTGCTCTCCAATAGCTTCTCTATATCTTATGTTCACTCTAAAGAGTTATTTTTGCTTTCTATATTTGTCTAGCGAGAAATTTGAAATAAATGATGACAATATTTAGAGACATAATAGAAGAAGTATCTGAACAACTAAAATCTCTATTTAGGGGAGACACTTGTGTACGCAAGGGGAGTGACAACGAGCGCCAAGTTTAGGCTGTGTCTGGATCCATGGACTAAAGTTTAGTTATGTCACATCGAGACGTTTGGATGTTAACTAGGAGGACTAATTGCACATGAGCTAATATAGAAAGCGAAATGGTTACTGTAGATACTAAAGTTTAAACATGAGCTAATTATAAAACTAATTGCATAGTAGTAGACTAATTAGCGAGACGAATCTATTAAGCCAAACTAATCCATAGGCCCCGTTTACTTCGCTGAAAAAAAGCAGTGAACACTGTTTCGGCTGATTTGTTGTGAGAGAAAAACACTGTTCCGACTAAAAAAATAAGCTGAAAAGTACGGATTATAAGACAAGCGAATATGGTTATAATTAGCAAATGGTTACTGTAGCACCACGTTGTCAAATCATGGACTAATTAGACTTAATAGATTCGTTTCATAAATTAGCTTCAATTTATGTAATTAGTTTTGTAATTAGCCTATGTTTAATACTTCTAATTAGTATCAAAGATTTGATGTGACAGGATAAAACATTTGCCCAAAAGAAACAAACACAACCTTAATCTAGTAGTAGTTATTATTAGTCCTATACTCAAAGTGACTTGAGTTTATTAGGGCACTCCCAATGGCCAATGCTAGAAACTATATATAATTTCTATACCTATCAATTTTTATAGACACTACATATAGAAACTATGGTTCCAATACATAGTTTATACAGAATAATTTTTTATCCAATCACATACATCCTCTCTATATTCTCTACCAATCACATCCCTTCATGTCTTGGTTCTCGTGTAAACATGGTTTCTAATTTAGACCCGATTTCTATGATTTTTGCTCTCTTTCTTCAATAACTACTTTGCCACATCAGCAAAACGCTTAGATGACAGTACAATTAATGTCCATAAAAACTATAGTGGTTTCTGCATTAGGAATGCCCTTATGGGCCACCAAGTTTTGCTCTCTCTTTACAGCCGGGAATTTAACATCAGAGTGACTCTAACATCTAGGTTATTATTAGGGTCGCTGAGTTTTAAAACATTCGGAACTAGGCAATTATGGAGAACATGGATTGGAGAGGCGAAGAATGTCATTTGTGGGCTCTAAATCACTGTATATCTTTTTTTTCAGCATAGAGGAGTACATGTATTATGACTTTAGAGCAACTTTTTGAGACTCTATACATTTCCTAATTACTAGGAATAGGTATTTTAGTTTAAAAAATCCACTAAAAAGCTTATTTAATTGGTTATCTAAATACTCTCTCCGTCAACAAAAGAATACAACTATGAATTCGTGTCTGCTAAAGTTGTAAAGTTGTCTTTGTTTGACCAAATTTATAGTGAATAGTATTTACACTTATTCTCTAAATTGGTTTATTACGAAAGTATATTTCATAACGAATTTAATGATATTTATTTTGCATCGTAAATGTTAGTATTGCTTTGATATAAATTTAGTCAAACTTGAAAGCATTTGGTTTCTCGAAATATGAGAACTGTATTCTTCTATGGATGAAGGGAGTATAATCATCTTTTATTTCGAAATTTTTTTGCTAGCTAAAGATAAAAAACGACAATGACTCTTTAAAGTATACATATAGAAAAAATATTTTTTAAAATGTGTGGTTTTCAATTACTCGTGGGCTGATTTGTTCGTCAGCAACAAATACAGTTATGCGTTTTAGAAGCGAGCTCACAATCGGCTCATCTCCTTCCAAAAAAATGTTGGAGAATGAAAATATATAAAAACCTATTTTTACAAATACCATCCAAGTAATGATTTATTAAACATTACAAATATTCTTGGAGATGCCCTTGCGAGCTTCGATCATCACCGGCCGAATCCGAAGGAAAATCCCAAACCTGTACGAAACGAACACAAGGATCTCGCCCGTCCCGTGCATCGGACCTGCAGGTGGCTGCTGGCTGCTATCAGTGGCAGCAGTGGTTGGGCGTGAATTTTCAGGTGTCGATTAAAATCAGTCAGGCGCTAACGGGGTTGCGGTTGCCCGTCAATTCATAATTAATTAATTCAATTTATTTATATGTTATTCATTATTATAGATTACTCTGGTATACTCCCATACCAATGTCCCTGAATAAATAGATGGTTAGAGAGGTGTTAAGTCAAACTTTTAATTTTTTTACCGAATCTCTAACAAAACCCGTAAAGATTTATAATATCAAATTAGTATAATTAATATACCATCGAATATAAGGATTGCTAAATTTCAGATGCCTGAATTTTAGTGTTCTTTCATGTGATGATTATTACATATATTTTATACTAAAACTACGGTTTTAGTTCGTTGCAATTTCTATAGACACAATTTGTAATTTTTTGTTTGAAAATTAAAAAACCCGTTAGACAAAAAACCCCGTTAGACAAAATATGATATGTGTTGGCACAAATACAATTTAATAATTTACAATTATTTATATAGTCAAACAAGCAAACAAAAATTTGATATGTTACGACACAAAGACAAATAACAAATTACAAATTACAAAAGTGATAATTTATTTGTACTAATTGGTGTACAAGAGGGTTGTCTGAAATCATCTTAAAATTCAAGCACCTGAAATATAGGAGAAGTGTCGAATATATTTTATAATATGCTCATTTTAAGTCATAAATGTTGTTACTCTTTTTTATAAATTAATCAAACTTAAGATAGTTTCACTTGCACAGATTTTAGGAATTGATTTATTTAGTAGGAATTGATTTGTTTGGGGACGGACTAAGTACTATTATCAATTACTCTCTCTGTCAGGAAATAATGCAATTATAATATAGTGTCATGGTTTTGTATTTTAAATTCGATCAATTATAGATAAAAAGTATCAATATTTATAATATAAATAAATATTATTAGATTAATTACGAAATGTATTTTTATAATAAATTATTTTGGAGCGAATAGTATTTACTAAAAATTTGATCAAATATAAACTACTTTTGCTGCCACGCAACACTTAGTTGCATTTTTTTCTGGACGGAGTGAGTATTAATCACCCGTTGCTATTTGTTGCATACAAGTAGTAAGGCCCAGTTTAGATGTAAATTTTTTTGCAAAATGAGCAATGTAGCATTTTCGTGGTTATTTGGTAATTAGTGTCCAATCATAGTTAATTCTTAAAAGACCCGTAATTGCTATTTGTGACGAAAATCTTGAAAATTTTGACAAAACGAAGTGGAACTAAACGGGACCTAACTATTATTAGTAGGTGATCCGACAGGACATGGGAAGGAGCCATGGATCAGTGCCACTCGCTCACTCACGTCCCCTACTTCCCTAGTCCCCTTTGGCCTATCGGCCTTGGGTTCAGGCTGACACGTGGGGCCCAGTGGCGGCTGTCGGCAGGGCCCGGGACCGGGAGGAGCATGTGGATGGCTGCTGCATGGCCATTTCCGATTTGAACCGCAGTTTTCAATGGTTGGGAAAACGTGGAGCTCACAAGTGTACGCACGCACACGCCTCGTGTGCCTTTTTCTTTTTCTTCCATAGTTCCATTCCAGTGGCGGTGGACTGGTGGTGATGGTGGATTCCTCCTCCTGGCAGGCAGTAGTAGAATACTCGTGTCATCCATGGCGTCGACGTCGTGTACATGATGCCTCAGCGGATAAGCAGCGAGCGTACACTCCCACTGTCCTGTAGTATACTACTCCCTCAGTTCCAAATTATAAAACGTTTAACTTTTTTTTCCCAAATTTGACCACTCATCTTATTCAAAAAATTTGTGCAAATATAGTCAAATTTAAGTCATTCTTGAAGAATTTTTATTAATAAACCAAACCACGACGAAAGAAGTGACATTTCACACAAATTTTTGAATAGGACGAGTGGTCAAACTTGGTGTCAAAAAAGTCAAACGCTTTACAATTTGGAATGGATTGAGTACATTATAAGAATTTTAAGACAAATTAAGAGAGAACATAAAAGACGCACCCTTATTTTATTTTTTAATCATATGCTATCATTAACATGATTAATGGTGATTGGTTGATAAATGAAAAGTATTTAATGTAAAATTATTTTTTATCCTTTAAAATATATTATATTTAAAAATAAATTTTAAATGCTAAAATGAATTATATTACAGGACGAAGGCATGACATACCTACGTGGTGCAACCTTCGTGCGGAGTACTCGTACACGCCTGCCGCCCCTGCAGCTTCTTCTTTTTTTGTTAATTAATCTGCTGCTAGGGAATCAAATCCTCTGTCCAGTGCATCGTTTTCTTTTCATTTGATACGGAATCAAATCCTCTCCTTGCACTGCATCATCTCCTTTCTAGTTTCACACATTGCATCGTGCACGGTATGCTGACGAGAATTAAAAACCACCACATAGAGTATATAGACTCTATGTATTTACACATAACTAAAAACCACCACATAGAGAATTAAAACCCCATCCGTACTAAATTAAAAACCCATCTAAACAAAAGTTTCTCAAAATTTTAGAGTGAAACTGGTTTAAAAAAATAGTCCAACTAAACAGGGCTTAAGACGTGTACTCCTACAGTTATTATATAGATTTTCGACCCACCGTTTGCTTTTGTTAGAATACAATACAAATAAAATAACAAGTAATTAGTCCAGTGACGGTGGACACCGGGGATCGTCAACGTCGCGTATATGATGACTCAGCAGATAAGATGCACACGTGGCGCGTGTGGTGCGCGGAGCACGTACACACGCCTGCGCCTCGCGACACTTTTTTTTTTTATGGATACAACCCTGCTTGCTTTGCATTGCATCGTGATTCGTGCACGGTGTGTAATACAGAAAACCAGGAAGGATATGTACCAGTATATATGTATTATATTAAGGCGTACTTATGATCCTTTATTTAATTTACCATTTGGTTTTCTGAGAATAAATAAAGAATATATATCAAGGCCTTTTTTTTGGGTATGCATTCTGTATTCTTGTCTAAAATAATTCCAACGCTTGTGATTGTTACGCGTCAGCGGCACCGCACGGCACTACCCCAGCAGGCAGTGTACTCTTTCAAAGCCCTCAGTCCTAAAAGAATGTCATGTTTTATATCTTTAATTTCATCAATTATAGATAAAAATATCAATATTTTATAATATTATCAAATAAATATTATTAGATTAATTATAAAATATATTTTAATAATAAAATAAATTAGAGCCATAAATATAAATACTATTTGATAGAAGTTCAGTCAAACTTGAACCATCCTAACCAAAACGTAACCTATAGTTATAATTTTTTTGGACAGATAGAGTATGCTTACCATGTACGTGGGTGCAGTGCACGTAACCTATAGTACGCTTACAATTTTTTTTGCTGTTCACAAGCTGTTCGTTTGTTTCACACTTGCTTTTTGGTGCGTTGCTTTAAGCCATGTTCGTTTGAGCTTATTAACTAGAATCTACGATATTTTCTGTCAAATCAGCTTGATCGGTTTATGGGGCTTTAATATTAAATTAATGTTACTGGTTTAGATCTAGCGATGTAAAGTTTTGGGATGTTGAATATCGGATGTTAAATAAATCCATGAGGTGTTGAATACTAATAAATTTATTAATCCTAATTAATTTGCCATTAGGCGAATTTATTAAGCCTAATTAATCCATCATTAGCACATGTGTGTACTGTAGCACTTATTGTCAAATTATGGACTGATTATGCTTAAAAGATTCGTCTCGTAAATTAGTCGTAAACTGTGTAATTAGTTTTTTTTAGTCTATATTTAATACTTCATGCATGAATCAAACATTTGATGTGACAGGTAAATTTTTGGGATGGAAACTAAACAAGGACTTACTGTAATTTGTGGTTTTGGTGTCTTTGTATTTGTAAGCAATGAGAAAGAAAATGTTGACCTATGCATCACGCACTTTTACACCCCCTATCTTTTCCTTTTTTTAAAAAAAGAAACAAACTGAAATAAAGAAATAAGCTAAAGTTCTACTCTCTGTTTCCAAAATAGAAGCTGTTCTCGCTTCTAAAAAGTCAATTTTTTTTAACTTTGATAAATTATATATATATAAAATAATAATATTTATAATATATAATTAGTATAGTTAGATGGACCGTTGAATATACTTTTATAACAAATTTATCAAGAGACAGATAGACTTTTGCGTTACGGAGGGATATAGGCTTTTTATAGTCAGGCCGTGTTTAGTTACGAGCAGATATGTAGCGTTTTGTTTGTATTTGACAATCGTTGATTAATTGTCAAAACGTCACGGACCAAAGTATGTAATTAAGGCTCAGCATTTATACTGCATATCAAACCACTAACGAAATCTTCTTTTTCCACTCCAAAAGATTTGGAGAACTAAACATGGCCTCAATCCGCTCACTGTCCCGCTCCAAGCAGAGTACTGTACGTAATTAAGCTCAGCACTCAGCAGCGCTCTGCTGCCGCCTGCTCCTGCTGAGCTCCCTCGTCGTCGTCAGGATAATTATTAATGGAAGGAGTCGTCAGTGTCTGCCTGCACTCTCATTCATCAGTACCAGCACACACCACCCACGCTTCATGCTTGCATTCACATCACATGCGGTCCATGCATGGCAATGCACAGCACAGATTGGTATGGCAGGCAAGGAGCAACTGAGCAAGCACAGCACAGCTCCCGAATTCGGCCATGGCTCCAATCCTCCTCCTGACTCGGATCGGATCGCATGACGGCATGAGCGTACTGGTACAGTGGTGCACTGCATGGCATGCAGATGCAGCAGGTGCAGGCGTGCAGCTCATTGCTCCAGATCACAGAATCTGGATTCAGAGAACACAAGAAAAGACAGGTTGAGGATACTACTCGTAGTATTGATCAAGGGGGCAACGCTAGTTGTACAGACACGGTAGGTACAGACCAAACTATGGGCACGTTTGAAACGCAAGAATTTTGCAAGAATCGTACACAAATTTAACAGTAATTAGTTCAATTTCACTCCGTAAAAAAAACACAATTCTAGCTTTGAACCCGCATTCCAAACAGACCCTAGAATTTGGTACACTGATGCTCTTCTCCTACTAGTAAGTCACTGTAAAACAATTAATCACAACAAAGTGCCAGTATATTTTTGACAATTCAGTACGGTGTGCACGTCTGGTTTCACTAGTACAAACAAAACATAGGAGTACTCGTATTACTAGTCGTAGTTTGTTCAGCAACCAACCATCCATCTCTGTTGAGTGAAGTGGACCGACCGGCGACCGAATTTGCAGCAGGTCAGGTGTATGTAGCAGACGAGTGAGAGTGACGGATGGAAAGATGTCGGTTCGTCAGCTGCACCTTTTTTTCATTGCTATTTAGTAGTACTTATTTATAATTCATCGTATAATTCGCTCAATCAGTCCTGGTCAACACGTACATACGCATGCCAAACACATTAGATTCTGTTTTTGTGCTCGCCCGTGTTTTCCAACACAACACAACCATCTGTACCTTTTTCTTTCGGCTAGCAATAACAAACACTGCATGTCATTGGCATGATTATCAGGTTGTCGGCAGAAGTGGAGGAAATAAAAAAACAAAGCGTGTCCAATTGTTTAGTAAAAATTATCTTTTGAAACGATTTGTTTAGTAAATTATTAGGTGTATTCCAAATGGTTTCGATACAAATACGAGATATACTGCATTTTCTTTGCACCATATTCCCATACAGGCAAAGCAAGCTCTATCTATATCTATAGATAGAAAAAAAAAACCACCCTCAAACTTCAATTTGAAGGGCATCTTTCTGATTTGTTCGTAAACATGAAAAATTCAACCAGTAGTAGTACATACAGTAGCTACACCTGTCAGCCTGCACTTCACATCACATTCGGTGCGCTTTCAGCATCAGAAGATGAGACTACAGGGACCTTTTTCCCTCCCAACAACGACAGCATATATCAGTATATCACCGCCCACAAAAGTATTTGGCCGATGCCGGGAATATGATATTACGCGTGGTGTGGACCTCTCCAAATTTGCTTGCAATTTCACAAACCACAAATCCAAACAACACCAACTGGCCTATGGCCAATTTTCCTTTTTCTCCCCTCTTGTCATGGTCATCCTCCTCTACATCGACTTTCCAACGACCGCTACATAAAAACGAATCTTGGCAGCAGTCTTGAAACATTTTTAATCTAGCATAATCATGGTTGCCGATATATTAAATATGATAGACAAATACTAGGGAGTGTTTCTTATCTTTGCATATATGCTTTCACACAGCATGGCCAGGTGCATGCATCACACAGGGTCAGCACAATACATCACAACAGAGCACAAGCATATAAACATGGTCAAAGAGATATAAGCAAGTTCCTAGCAGGTGGCACACAAGGAGGAGGCCTCAGCTTTCCGTTGAGCCCCTTAAGTAACCTGCAAAGGAGGCTGCTTTGATCTGCATGATTGCACTTGAGCATCCATCATATGATCCATATCCTCTTTGCAAAAGCACTAGTACCACATTGCAGCACTTTATCGTACTACAAAACACACAAGTGTGCAACCAAATGAACACCTTGTCCTGGCATGCAATCCTGTGTGCCCCTGTGCCCCATAAATAAGAACCTGGATGGCCTTTAGTCTGCAGGAAGCTTGAAGAAAAAGGCCATGTAATGAGAACATGAAGACTTTATATCCATAATACCACCACCAACCATCACTGGTGCTGAAGACCGGAATCATGGAATTCAGAAACATGGTATTTCAAATGTTCACATACTGTCATACTGAGCAATCTGAGAGGGGGCAGTTTGAAGAGAAAAATACACGACACAATGGTACATAACAGCAACGTAAACCAACAATGTACAACAACACCCTGCGACACTACTCGCTAACAATCTCACATGCGCAGTCACAGAACACCTGCGACACTACTAGCTAACAATCTCACATGCGCAGTCACAGAACACCACATGACATCAGTTCAGATGCGGGATTTGTTTTCCGGTCTATATACACAGAGATGCAACAACATGAATGACAAAGGGGCATTGCAATGTGTCCCAAGAAAATGGAAGGGATTCATTCTCAGGCTAGTGTCTCAACTGGCTTCGCGGCTGAGTTAGCAGGCCCCGGCTGATCTGTTGTTCCAGACTTGGAGGCTCCTTTGGCATTCTTCAATCTTGAGGCCTGGGTTGTCCGACTACTGTTGGTAGGGCGCTTTCCTACTCCCCCACTGGCTATTGCTGCACCATAAGTGACGAGCATCAATCAATTGCTTTCAAAGCTTCAACTGCTGATGTCTTGCTCAAATGCATGACAACATATCAACACAAATATGTAACTGTAGATTATTGTAGGAGTAGGAGTAGGACATAGCACTTTTTGAGAGTCCAGGTATATGCAGTTTTCTGAAAGAGGGCTAAGGAACTGTGATGACAATAATATACACAGACAGATGATTTACCATTGTTAGGAAGGGATAATCGCTTCTTTGCTGGTGCATTGATTTGTGCTGGTCTTTCTTTTGGATTGCTTGTGGACCGGGAAGCCAAATTCAAAGGTTCAGAGCTGACTTCATCTGTGATCTCGTTCGATGGCTTCACTTTTATCTTGGATGACCCGAAGAAGCAGTTGGTTGAACAGCTGCAGAGTGCCCCGAAGAAGAGCCACTTACATCAGAATGTGACTTCTTATGGCCTGCACCTTTCTTCTGCTGTGATCCATTTGATTGTGTGGTTGAAACAGGTACTTTTCCTTTTGGTTTGTTCGGAGCTTTAGCCTTGTCTTCCTCAGCTGGTTTGTCATCGCCAACTGTGACACTATCTTTGGCATTGCTGTCAAGTACCCTGTTCTCCCATGGGCGTGCAGCCATCCACCTCTCTAACCATTTCTGTCCCCACTGATTCTCATCCCCTACAAGTCCTTGGTCTTGGAGGCTTGCTGCTTTCTGTTTCCTTGAACTTGCTTGCCACTGACAAAAGTAAGCACAAATTAGCACAACTTGTGCATCTACAGATCACAGTCAGTGAAAAGAAAAGTGAGTTTACACACAACAGTAGCAGGTTCTGTAGCCAAAAACAGGATACATTTTAGGCGAGCCGAAAGTGAACTTTGAGCTTTCATATTTATCGAGCTTTGGTACGCTAGCAGCCTAGCACTATTGCTCCAGTAAGTCAACCAGAATCTATTTTAACCTGGTGCGTGGTCCAGGCTACTTTGTCAAGGAAGCAGTTTATCCACAGCCATTTGCTAGAAATTTGATAAAGATGGAGTTATACCCATCTCAAATTGCTAAACTACAGAATATGCAATATTGTATGCAGCAACAGAATGCCAATTCAGCTAAGCCACACATAGTGATCCACAACACAAACACCTACAAGAATAGAAGTCACAAATATCCTTCTTGACTAGAATATTGTGACTATATACTTTGAATAACAGAAACGAAAAAAAAAGAAAATGATCAAAAGACTCTGATGAGCCTTTTAATTTAGTTTTTAGTGTAGAAATATTTTAGTTTTTCAAGTATTAACATCAAGCTATTAACACATTCCAGATATAACATTATTGATCAAAGTTACCTGATGGGTTAAAGCATATGCCATCGCCCTTTCCCTCTTAGCCGCAGCCTCTTGCCTTTTTAATGCCTTAGCTTTCATTTCTTCTACTGAGCCTATACTGCCACACCAGTCTTCCTGCATGCCATTGACAGGTAATAAACTTTCAATAACATTTACTTCAATAAACACATCTCAGAATTGTTAATTCTTCAGTGGCAATTGGCAAAAGGTCAGTAACCACATTAGATTATTCAACTCATACTTGATTAAACACACAAGCTTGACACTCCCTCTGGTAAAAGAAATACTTGTCATATTTGACTCTGCACGGTCTTCGATGTATATCTTTGAGCACTAATTTCTTCAGAATTTATTCTTAAAATCCTACACATTTATGAGAATTATCATACAACTTAGATGTTTTCAGACTAAATAATTTAAGTTATTTATATTTGTAGTTTAACTCCGCCTATGTTGTCTCAACATAGCAGGTTCCAAACCCTGGTAAAGGAGGAGGGTTGTGATAGGCGTGGCGAGCCAACGTTAAATCTAGCCATTCTAATGGAGATGAAACCCGAAAGAAAACCGTTGGGGCGTAACCCTCTTAGCAATCATATCGGAAGGGTATGGTGTTAAATGAGCAAGGGCGGGTCGTCACTGTTGGTGTCGCGATCTGGGCGCAGTGTCAAGTGAGCAAGGATCGGGTCGTCAGATCCTTAGTGGGCGCTACATCGGCGCCGGGTGTAGTGAAAAATGAGCAAGTGTCTTCACATCTAAGTTGGCTTGAAGGTAAGGAAGCTTCAACTAACTAGGATCCGTTTAGGTAGTTGGAATGTAGGGTCGCTACTGTGTAAGTTAAGAGAATTAGTTGATATCGCGACTAGGAGGCGTGTAAATATATTATGCGTTCAAGAGACTAAATGGAAGGTCGGAAAGGCGAAGGAGGTGGACAATACAGTTTCAAGCTTTGGTACACAGGGGCGATTCTTGAATAGAAATGGAGTAGGAATTTTGATTGATAAGAGCCTCAAGAATAGTGTGGTGGGAGTGAGAAGGCAAGGAGATAGGATTATCTTAGTCAAGCTTGTCATTGGTGATATGGTCTTGAACGTAATTAGTGCGTATGCCCCCAAGTAGGCCTCGGCGAGAGTGCTAAAAGACAGCCGGGAAGACTTAGATGGGCACGATTAGAGCTGTACCTAGTAGTGAGAAGCTTTTATAGGAGGAGATCTTAATGGGCATGTAGGTACTACAGCTTTGAGTTTTTGACTCATGGAGGTTTTGGGTATGGTCGTAGGAATCGGGAGGGGAGGAAGTTCGGACTTCAGCGGTAGCTTTTGACCTGATGATAGCCAACACTTTCTTTAGAAAGAGAGAATCTCATCTAGCGACCTTCAGTAGCAGACAACACTCTAGCCAGATTAACTTTGTCCTCACAAGAAGAAAGGACAAACGAGCATGCTTGGGTTGTAAGGTGATACCAGGGGAGTGTGTTGTTTCCCAACATAAGCTTTTGGTGGCAGACTTTCGTTTTCAGGTGCGTGCCCGTAGGGATAAACAAGCTAAGATTGAAAGAACAAAGTGGTGGAAATTAAAAGGGGAGACGTCAGAGGTATTCAGGGAAAGGGTTATCAAAGAGGGCTCTTGGAAGGAAGAAGAGGACATAAACAACATGTGGGAGAAGATGGCAACCAACATTCGGAAGGTGGCCTCAGAGGTGTGTGGAGTAACCAAAGGAAGTGGAGACGAGGCTAAAGATACTTGGTGGTGGAAGGAGGAAGTATAAAGGGCTATTAAGGAGAAGAAAGAATGCTATAGACGCTTGTACCATGACAGGAGTGTGGACAACATAGAGAAGTACAAGGTGGCAAAGAAGACTGCAAAGCGAGCTGTAAGTGTGGCAAAGGATAGAGCGTATGAGGATCTTTACCGACATTTGAGTACGAAGGAATGAGAGAAGGACATTTATAGGATGGCTAGGGTTCGTGAGAGAAAGACAATGGACTTCAACCAAATTAAGTGCATTAAGGATGAAAGGGAGCATCTCTTGGTGAAGGGGGTGAGATCCGACATCGATGGCAAGAGTATTTTGACAAATTGTTCAATGGTGAGAATACGGACACAACCTTTCAGTTGGATGACTCTTTAGATGACACCAATAGGCGCTTTGTGCGGAGAATCCAAGAATCTAAGGTCAGAAAGGCGTTGAAAAGGATGAAAGGAGGTAAAGCGATGGGACCGGATGGTATCCCAATCGAGGTGTGGAGATGCCTCAGAGACATAGCTATAGTATGGCTAACCAAGCTGTTCAACCATATTTTTCGATCGAACAAGATGTCTGATGAGTGCAGGAGAAGTATATTGGTACCGATCTACAAGAATAAAGGGGATATTCAAAGTTGTACTAATTACCGGAGAATTAAGTTGATGAGTCATACTATGAAGCTATGGGAGAGTTATCAAGCATCGCTTGAGAGCAATAACGTGGGTCTCTATGAACCAATTTGGTTTCATGCCCGAAAGGTCAACCATGGAAGCCATTTTCCTAATAAGACAAGTGATGGAGCGGTATAGGAAGAAGAAGAAGGACCTACACATGGTTTTTATTGACTTGGAGAAGACTTATGATAGAATACCAAGGAATGTTATGTGGTGGGCTTTGGACAAACATAAAGTCCCAACGAAGTACGTCAGGCTCATTAAGGACATGTACAACAATGTTGTGACTAGAGTTCGAACAAGTGATGAAGACACGAATGACTTCCCGATTAGGATATGACTACATCAAGGGTCAGCTTTGAGCCCTTATCTATTTGCCTTAGTGATGGATGAGGTTACAAGGGACATACAAGGGGACATCCCTTGGTGTATGCTTTTCGCGGACGATGTAGTGCTAGTTGATGAAAGCCGGACAAGAGTGAATCAGAAACTGGAGTTATGGCGGGAGACTTTGGAGTCCAAAGGTTTTAAACTCAGTAGAACTAAAACTGAGTATATGAGATGTGACTTCGGCACTACTACTCGGGAGGAGGAGGATATTAGTTTGGAAGGTCAAGTAGTGCCTAGGAAGGATACATTTCGATATTTAGGATTAAGCATACTGAGAGAGACAGGATATTGATGAAGATGTTAGCCATAAAATCAAAGCGTGGTGGATAAAGTGGCGCCAAGCATCTGGTGTCCTATGTGACAAAAGGGTACCATGAAGCTAAAAGGCAAGTTTTATATAGGATGGCGATTAGACTGCTATGTTGTATGATGAGTAATGTTGGCTCTTTCAAAAAGGCGACATACTTCGAGATAAGTGTCGTGGAAATGCGTATATGTTGCGTTGGATTTGCGGTCATAAAAGAAGGATCGAGTTTGAACGATGATATACGTGATAGATTAGGGGTAGCACCAATTGAAGAAAAGCTTGTCCAACACCGGTTGAGATGGTTTGGACATGTCCAACGGAGACATCCAGAGGCACCAGTGTGTAGTGGAATCCTAAGCCAGGATAGTAACGTGAAGAGAGGCAGAGGAAGACCGAAGTTGACTTGGGTAGAGGCAATAAAAGGAGACTTGAAAGGATGGAATATACCCAAAGACTTAGCCTTAGATAGGAGTGCTTGGAAGACAGCTATTCACGTGCCTGAACCTTGATTGCTTCTGCTGGGTTTCAACTCTAACCTACCCCAACTTGTTTAGGACTTAAAGGCTTTGTTGTTGTTGTTGTTGTTGTATTTATATTTGTAGTTTTTTAGGTTTGACTAAGCCCCGTTTGGTGGAGCTCAAGCCAGCCCCGGCTCCTATGTGCACTACAAATGAGCTGTTTTTATCTCTCTTCTCAAAATGAACTAGGAGCCAATGAAGCCACTAATTTTGGCTTCAACAGCTCCGACTCCTAAGTGCACTGTAGCAAGGAGCCGGAGCCTTGCCATATGGACCCTAAATTTTGTCCTAAACGACATGTTTTTTTTTGTGATCAGAGGAAGTATTGCCTAAGTTGTAGTTGACATTCCGTTCCACTGTCTTCAGTCTTCATATAAGTCAGGGAACACCAGAGTTTTTTGTGCATGCTTTAAAGAGTAAGTTAAAGCTTCTTAGTTTCTTCAATTACTGTTGCCAACAGGAACTTTCTTAACTTGACAAAATGTAAACAGTCTAAATAAAAAAAGTGTGAATCATGCCAACAATACAAGACATCATGGACAGTCTTAATACTTATACTTTCCTTGACAAACCACCCCCAGATCCAGGATAAGTAGGTAGCCATATAAATTGAGAAATTTATTAGGGATGACTTGCATTGTCATGACATATATCCTAAGCATGTAAGGATGAAAATGATTAAAGACACCAGATGTCTGGAGAATGCTGTTTCTCACCTCAATATCTTGAACATGGTCCTCCTGAACATTTTGTTCAGGAGGTTTCTTTGGGGTCCCTTGGCTTTCCAAAGAAACACGGACTCGTCTCGCTCTGACACGAGCTTGAGCTCTTACTAGTGCTTGCATGCACTGAAGTGTTTCTGCTGCTTGCTTTCTTACAGCATGACCCCTAACAAGTGCCTGGAGTCTAACTAGTCCTTTTAACGCCCGCAACGCCCGCCTAGCCTGGTAAATATGACCATGCAAAAGATATCAAACTACCTTTTGAGCTGCATACTACTAATGACGAAATGACAAATGAAGAAATGACTAAAACACATGACATTCCAAACTTCTCGCATTTGAAGCCGCTTGATTGATTCATGGTTACCATTTTTACAAGTGAAGGACTAACCATAACCTTATATTGTTTAACAGCCCTTACAGCATTTTGCAACAGTTAATTTTGTTTGATAAGTTCCCTCAACCAGAAACCCTTACGGCAGAATGCAATATGTTCCATATTTTTCTTAGTTTTGGCAGAAACATGATAACTAAAGTGTTCTTATAATACCAGGAATGCTCGAAAGGCAGACTGAATAGCTACAGCAGCCTGATGCTCCTTTGTACCAAGTTCAGTCTGAGAAACTTGAAGAGATGTGCTCGGCGAGAAAGCGGAATTTGATATTGTCTCTGTGTTTGTGTCACCTGCCAATGGTTCAGCCTGTACTCTGCGCTCTTCAGCCGCAGGAACACTTTCTGTATCTACAGAATGCTCCCGTTTGTGTAGCAACTGGACAGCAGAGCTCCTCTGCAATTTTCAGAAAGTGTGATCTTAAAGCAGCATAACCAACTGGATAAAATTACAAAGAATGTTTAACAGAGATATGTGCAGCATAATGCCATGGAGGATGGGATGGGCAGTGCCTGCCAAAATACAGCAGTGCTATTCTCTTAACCTCAGCATAGAAGACCTTGAATTGAACTGTTTGATCCTTTAGGGTGTTGTTCAGTAGATGTAAAAGATTCAGAACCGGCTACGGTATCCATTTGAGAAACCAGCTTAAATTGAGTTTAACCATATCAACAACAACAATTGGGAAGAGATATAAACTAGAACATTTGAAATTGAGTAGTTGGCCCGAGTCCTTTTTCTGTCCTATGGTGGTTGAGAGGACGGAAGCATTATCAGTCTTGACACATCAACACATCCTCAGAAATGCAGAAGATACCTATGCCACATCAATGCATGGCATGTGTTGAAATTAACTACATGATGCATGACTTTGACGGAATGGTGGAATATACATGGCCAACATGTGACACTGCTCATAACTGGAACTAAATAGTGGGGCAACAACCCTCGATGGGAATCAAATGACAGAGACACGCCAACAATAAAAGTGGTTCCGAGTCCAGGCTTCAGATGAGTTTTAGTAAACCATCTGTGTTAGCAATTTTAGCATCATTCTATGCCTGCTAAAGGACAAAAAAAAAAAATGGCAAAAGCAAAGAACCCCACGGGAATGCAGGCTAAAACTCGAGCTATAGGCATCTGTACGGTTGACTTACCGCATCGCTGCATTCAGCATTTCGCCCTTTTTCATGCTTTTTTATCCCAACAAGTGATTTGATCCACTTAGCTGAAATCCCCATGACAGCCTTTTCCTCTTTGCGTTCAACAGCTAGCAGCTGTACATCACCTAGGAATAACCGCACAATGTAAGTGATGTTGCTAAGCACGCACAAAAAGTTGCCCCAAATTCTTCTGTCAACCATAACCACAAATTAGACGAAGTACAGGTTGAAGAACAAAAGCTCAAAGAAGTAACTAAGCAAGTAAAATCGGTGAACATGCACCGACAATAGCATCAAATGGCTCTTTATAGCATATAGAAGCAAATATGGAAGGGAAATCGATCCCAGCCCAAATACGAAACGAAGCACGGAAAAAGCATGCACAGTTACAAAAGATACAGTCTTGCAAACTTTGAAGCCTGAATTTCGTGGTGGAACGAAAAAGGGGACAGACATTGCAACCGGTGCCCAAACTCTTCGCAACGCAGCAGGCACGCAAATGCAGCAAAAGCACACAAATTCAGGACTCACGCTCAGAACAGTCGCAAAACGCCAGAAGAAGTCCACGGATGGAAGAACCACTAGCCAGCCGGGTACCCAAATCGAGCGAGACGCAAAAAATCGCGGGCGAAATGAGAGCCAAATTCACGGACAGGGCCACGGATCGGGTAGAGCAAATCAAGCCAAACCCCACGCCACGGATCAGAGCGGCTGGCAGCAACCGCCGCCCAACCCCAGCAGCAAGAACAAGCATCCCACTCCCACTCGCACGCCCGGGAGTTGTTCCATGGAGCTCACCTCACACCCGAACCGACTCGAGCTCCTGTGAACCGGGAGAGAGCAAGCTCCACCTCCGCGGCGAATGCGTCGGCCGCAGAAAGGCGTCGCCGCCGACCAGCCGACCGCCCCGCCCCGCCCCGCGCCGCTCCTCCCCCTCTTTGTCTCTCTCTCCTCTCGCTTTCGGTTTCGCCTCAGCTTTGGATTGATTGAGCTCCACCACCTCGCCCTTTTGGACTGTACTTTGGACGAATTTTTGTTTTTCTTTTGGGTATACAAAACAAATGCCCTATTTGCTTGTCTCTATGGCCGAAAATAACGTTGAAAAATACTGTAAAAAAATATGACTCGTAAGCCAAGGAAACAGGGCGCTTCAGCTGCTGCAGTTGGCAGGGCAACTTTTATAGAAAGGCCCTCTCTTTTATTGTTTTTGCAAGGGAGCACAGTATATTCTTATACGGCAATCTCCGCCATCGAGGGGGCTTTAGGTAAAAACAATGCATCACCGGTCTCGTCCCGCCGCGGGGAGCTCACCGCCGTTCGACGGGAGGTGCCCCCGCCCCCTCCTCCGCCGCCACTCTCGCCGCGAGATGACGACCCCATACCGTGCGACGGTGCTGCTATTTTTACTGCGGGGGGAGCAGCGTCTTCGCGGTGGCCGGGGATGGCGCGGGGCGGGCGGCGGCGAGGGCTAGCTCCGGTGGTCGCCGGCCACGCGGGTCTTCTCTGTGAATGTGGCGTCCGCCTCGAACGAAGTCGTCCTCCTTCCCGGCCCGGCACCCACCTACTTCCCAGTGAGCGCTCTCGCCCCTCCCTGACAATGCAGATGCAGTAAACGCCTGAGTCTGACCACAATCACGCGCTGAAATTTCAATTTGAAACACTTGTCCGGGTTGTGTGCAACTAATAATCTAAAGATTATGCCCCATCACAAGTGCGCGTGCCGATTATTCTCCAGAAATTTTTCTTGCGTTGCGTGAGTAGTTTGATCCCATGATAATATGATACTTATCAGACTATCAGTTGAACATAAAGATCCTGTTGCTTATACAATGACACTTGGTGTTGACGTGATCTGAAGGCCGTGAAGTCCACAAAGGTTGCTTTCTTAGTTTTGCTTTGCACGACAGGGAATCCATGCTGTCCTGTATCTGTATCACTGTATGAATAGGAATTTAGTTTGACTTTGGTTAGATGAGTCTGAAACCACACACCAACGTCATCTGCATTAACTTTGTTTAGAGTTCAATGGGAGTGCATCTCATAATGCCGGCATATAATCTAGGGAAGCAGAAAACACTTGCAGTCAAAGTCCAGAGCTTAGTTGAGTATGAAAACGACCAGATGAGAAACACAGTGGCTAGAAGGGGGATTTTCACTCTGCGCTTTCAACATGTTAATGACATGTTCTAGTACGTTGTTGACTAATAGCACCACTGTGACTCTTGTATTGTTTCTTTTTTTTTCTGTGTGCAAAATCAAAGAATAATGATCATCATTATGTAAGCACATCGTCAGTATATCCTGATGACTCACCCTTTTGACTATCGGATGGTTATTGCTTCAAACAAAGATTTTTTATCTTAATCCTTTTTTAGGACTCTTAAAAATCACATCTGAACTGGCGACGGTGCGTACTGATGGGTGATGGGAATATTCCTTAGGTTTCTGAATGAACACTGTTTTGTTCTCATCTGCCTGTTATGTTTATGGCCCACACGTGCTGATTTTTTGTTAGAGTTGGGTGATTACCTGCCTTAGCAGGTTTGGTGAAATCTTTCAAAGAAGTTGCCATTGCGAGTTTCAAATTTTCTTTTAAATGAATAGGTGAAAGGAAACAAAGCAGGAATGGTGTGCAGTTAGTTTCATTGGTCATGTCGATTATAACCAATCTCAAACCAGGACCTAGTCTTAGCTGATTATTGCATGCCTTCTTTGCAGGAGTAGGAAAACATACCACTGTTTTGGTTATTCCATACTTTAAGAGGGGAAAAACTCAGCTGGCCTGCAGGCTGCAACTAATTTGCCTGGTTCATGAGAGAGCGCAAATAACAAATTATTGTAGTTTGTTATATGTCAATGTCTTAATTAGTTGCATCTGCTGATAGCTACTTCTATCAAGGATACGCAATTACTTCAAAAGTGGAAATCTAGGTGAGCAGTTGAAAAAGGACCTGAGCAAAACATCATTGTCTTTGGCTTGCTGTCTTAACTCTCTTAATGACAGCAGTTTCACATCTCCTGAAAGCTACACTAGGAATAAGCAAACTTGGAATGAGTAACCTAGCTCTAGTTGAATTCCTCAGTTTATCTTTCACACTGTGTTCATATATCACCCTAGCAGTCGCACAAAGCCCTCAAACACACAGTTGAATAGCAAGCAACTATGTGGGGCAGTAGCAGGAGGCATGGCCTCTTTGGCATTAGCAATTGCAGATACCTGCTCATAACCAGTTGTCTCATCCATGCTGTTCAGGTCCTTCATATTTGCAAAGCTCAGTCCATTGATGAGCAAGCACTGCTTGCATTCAAGGCTGGCATCTCTGGCGACCCAGGCAGGGTGCTTGCTGCATGGACGCCTACCAACGGCATCATGAATGCCACGAACAACATCTGCCGGTGGAAAGGTGTCTCATGCAGCTCCCGACGGCACCCTGGCCGTGTCACCGCGCTGGAGCTCATGTCATCCAACCTGACAGGTGTGATAAGCCCCAGGCTGTCCAACCTCTCCTTCCTCCACACACTCAACCTCTCTAGCAACCGCCTCTCTGGCAGCATCCCCTCGGAGCTTGGCATTCTGTGGCGCCTCCAAGTCATCAGCCTAGGAGGAAATTCCCTCACTGGTGAGATACCCACATCTCTCTCCAATTGTGCTCGTCTCACGCATTTGGAGTTGCATCGGAATGGGTTTCATGGTGACATCCCAGTGAACCTGAGCAACTGCAAGGAGCTCAGGGTTTTCAACATCAGTGTGAATACCCTGTCCGGTGGTATTCCTCCATCATTCGGGTCGCTGTTGAAACTCGAGTTCTTTGGGCTTCATCGGAGCAACCTCACCGGCGGCATTCCCCCGTCTCTGGGTAACCTCTCATCACTCCTGGCATTTGATGCCAGTGAGAATTTTAATCTGGGTGGTAACATACCAGACGTGCTTGGGAGACTAACCAAGCTGAATTTTCTCAGGCTAGCTTCTGCTGGCCTTGGTGGCAAAATCCCAGTCTCATTGTTTATCATATCATCCCTTAGGGTACTTGACTTGGGAAACAATGATCTATCTGGTGTGCTGCCCGCTGACATTGGTTTCACCTTACCAAGAATTCAATTCCTTTCTTTCTACAACTGTGGGCTCAAAGGGCGCATCCCCATGTCAATAGGCAACATGACAGGACTCCGTCTGATCCAGCTTCACATCAACAATCTACAGGGGAGTGCTCCACCTGAAATTGGCAGGCTGAAGGATCTTGAGGTGTTGAACCTGGAGTCTAACCAGCTTGAGGATAAGTGGGACAGGGACTGGCCTCTGATACAATCACTAGGGAATTGCAGTAGGCTGTTTGCACTGAGCCTTTCCTATAACAGGTTTCAAGGCATGCTTCCCCCTTCTCTTGTCAACCTTACCATTGGGATACAACAAATCTTAATGAATGGAAACAAGATAAGTGGTTCAATACCCACAGAGATTGGTAAATTCAGCAACCTTCGTGTTATTGCGCTCGCTGATAATGCCTTGACTGGCACCATTCCAGACACCATTGGTGGTCTTCACAACATGACTGGGCTAGATGTCTCTGGCAACAAGTTATCTGGTGAGATCCCACCTATGCTTGTTGCGAACCTTACCCAGCTTGCTTTCCTGGATCTGTCACAGAACGAATTGCAAGGAAGCATACCTGAGAGCTTTGGGAATATGAGAAATATTGCAGTCCTGGACTTGTCTTACAATAAGTTCAGTGGCATGATACCAAAACAGCTTGTCAGTCTGTCTTCTCTAACCCTGTTCCTCAACCTGTCTCACAACATCTTCTCAGGTCCAATACCTTCAGAAGTAGGTCGACTGAGCAGCCTTGGGGTTCTGGACTTGTCGAACAATAGGCTCTCAGGAGAGGTACCACAGGCGCTCTTGCAGTGCGAAGCAATGGAGTACTTATTTCTGCAGGGAAACCAGCTTGTTGGTAGGATTCCCCAATCACTTAACTCAATGAAAGGGCTTCAATACTTGGACATGTCACAGAATAACCTGTCTGGTTCAATTCCAGATTACTTATCGATGTTGCAGTACTTGCATTACCTGAACCTATCCTACAACCAGTTTGATGGACCAGTGCCGACAAGAGGAGTGTTCAATGATTCAAGGAACTTCTTTGTTGCTGGGAACAAAGTTTGTGGTGGTGTTTCAGAGTTGAAGCTGCCAAAATGTTCTGGTGGTACTGATAACTTTGGTAATAGGTTACACAAATCAAGAACTGTACTGATCGTGTCTATTACCATAGGATCTATCTTGGCCCTAATCCTTGTCACATGCACTTTTGTGATGCATGCTCGAAAACGGCTGAATCAGCAGCTTGTGCAGAGTAATGAGACATCTCCTGTTCCAAAGTTGATGGACCAGCACTGAAAATTATCCTATGCTGAACTGAATAGGGCTACTGATGGGTTCTCCACAGCTAACCTCATTGGTGTCGGAAGCTTTGGTTCAGTGTACAGAGGAACACTAGGCAATGAAGAGCAGGAAGTCGCAGTAAAAGTACTGAACCTCCTACAGCATGGCGCTGAGCAGAGTTTCCTGGCTGAATGCGAGGTGCTGAGAAGTATCCGACACCGCAATCTTGTAAAGGTTATCACAGCCTGTTCGACCATGGATCACAGCGGGCATGATTTTAAAGCTTTGGTGTACGAGTTCATGCCTAACAGAGATCTGGACAGATGGCTTCATCCATTCACTGGGGAAGGTGAGAGTTCCTCTCGTACGCTAACCATGTCTGAGAGAGTGAGCATTGCACTCGATGTCGCTGAGGCTCTTGACTATCTTCACAACCATGGCCAAGTACCAATCGTGCACTGTGATCTGAAGCCAAGCAATGTCCTTCTTGACCCCGACATGGTTGCCCATGTAGGGGACTTTGGGCTGTCACGGTTTGTTCAGGGAGCAAACAGCGACTTATTCCAACACACAGCCAATACTGCTGGAATCAAAGGCACCATTGGATACATTCCTCCAGGTACATAGCACACTAAACTAGTTTGATTGCTTTTGTTGTCACTTGCAGAATGGAAAACCTAAATAACAGTGGCATTATTGCATTTGATAACTTTGCCCTTAAATTTTTCCAGAGTATGGAATGGGTGGCGGAATTTCAGTGGAAGGTGATGTCTACAGCTATGGGATTCTCCTGCTCGAGATGTTCACTGCAAAGCGGCCAACAGATCCATTGTTTCAGGGAGGTCAAAGCATCCGTGGTTATGTCGCAGCGGCTTATCCTGAGAGAGTAATATCTATAGCTGATCAAGCTCTGTTGCAGCGTGAAGAGAACCTGGAAGAGTTCCTTGTGTCGGTTTTCCGAGTCGCGCTGCGATGCACCGAGGAATCACCGAGAGCAAGGATGCTAACCAGAGATGTTATCAGAGAGCTTGCTGTTGTAAGGGATTCTTATGAGTAGCTGCATGTACACCAGCATGTTACTGCTAAAAATGTTGTACAATACAATACTTTAACATGGTTTTTGCTGGCTTGCCTCAAGAGGCATGTCTGATGAACGAAGCATGACCAGAGTAGTATAGCACCGGAAAAAAATTTCATTTTGAAAGAGTGAAAGGAACCATTTCATGATTTGATTAAGCACAGTGTGGATGGACAATTATTCTGTTCAGTTTGAGAGTGGACCGTGTGTTAAAATGCTGACTTGTAGTCTGCTACAGTTTAGTTTTTTTTTTTTTTTTTTTTTTTTTTTTGGGGGGTGGGGGGACTTGTATTCTGCTATAGTAATATAGTTGAGCCCAGAAGAGTAAATGCTTTCTTAACAGGGAGGAGCGCATTTTCATCCGCATTTATAGTGTCAAAAAAAGTGTGAAGAGGACCGGGAAGCCTCATCCTTGTTTTGTCTGGACTCTGGAGTCGGCGGATCTCCACTGCTCTGCTCTCCCTCTTCATCGAGGTGCCCCCTCAAGCTTCCATGCCGTGGAGGTGGCCGGCTGGCCGCCGGTGACGAACAGCCTCCCTTCCCGGAGCTCTCGTCAGTGGCGCAGGCGCCGACGCGACAGGTATGCTGCCAGCCAGTTCATTAGTTCGATTCAGAATTTACTCAAGGATCCACTAGTTACCATTTTACTATAATCATGCCTGTCATTTTTCCTCAACCTCAGTTCATCTTCCTTACTCACTGCAGCAACATTTTTTTTTAATTTCTGTCCTGGTTTTACCAATTGATAGATTCCGATATGATCCGCCACCAAATCGACAGTGTGTTCATTTTACTCTTTCGTGTGCATATTTGAGGCTGGCAGGAGACTCGACCTAGTCCATGTGAGTGAGCTCCAGGTCAGTGATGACGGCCTCTGACGCAGCCATGCCTTGCAGTTGGGCGTTGAACTCCACCGACCGCAAACCTGCTGGCGAGACATGGATTGAATGAATGAACTCACACGACTCTCACATTACGTGCAGCTCTAGTTCTGTGCATATCTATAGCACTAGCAGGATACAACAACACAAGATATTTTGAGCTCTGGTGGTTGAATTTCAAGGAACAAGGATATATATGTATACATCATCAGGATCAACATGGTTGAACCGCACTCAAGAATGGAGGTAGCAAGAGCTGGCCGCAGAGCTTGTCTCTCCTATCAGGCCACCAAATCCATGTGCGTGCTACTCCTTGCTGCTTCCTTGCTGAACACTAGCCATACCACCATACTTACTCTCAGGGGTAACTTCCTAACAGGCAGCATGCCGCCATCAATCGGGGAGCTTTACAACTTAGGAATTTTAGACTTGTCCGAGAACAACATTTCTGGGAAAATTCCTCCTACACTAGGGAACCTGACAAACCTTTCCATACTTTACCTATTCAAGAACAACTTGAAGGGATCCATACCCACAAGCTTGGGGAGGTTGCAGAACATTGCTAGTTTAGTCTTGTCATTTAACCAGCTTACTGGCTCGATACCGGTGGAAGTCGTCAGTCTCTCCTCTTTAACCAGCTATCTTGGTCTTTCATACAACTTTCTCACTGGTCAAATCCCATCAGAGGTAGGAAAATTGACAAACCTAGTATTATTGGATCTGTCAGTAAATCAACTATCTGGAGATATTCCTGCAACTTTAGGCAAATGCGTCGAGCTAGTGCAGCTTCAACTGAATGATAATCTTCTTCAAGGTACCATCCCACAATCCTTGAGTGGATTGCAAGCAATACAAGAACTGAACATTGCGAGAAACAACTTATCTGGTCCTGTTCCAAAATTCTTTGCTGACTGGCCAAACCTGGACTACCTGAATTTGTCCTATAACAGCTTTGAAGGTTCTGTTCCAGTAACCGGCGTCTTCAGTAATGCAAGTGCATTTTCCGTAGCTGGTAACAAGGTCTGTGGGGGCATTCCAAGTTTACAGCTTCCCCAATGCCCTGTCAAAGAGCCAGGTGTTGAGAAGAGGAGACCAAGGAGAGTAGTGCTTATAGGCATTGTTATTGGTTCTATATCTTTGTTTCTCCTTCTTGCATGTGGTCTTCTCTTATTCATCATGAGGCAGCGGAAAAGGGTCCCTAATATCCCTTTAGCAGAGGATCAACATTGGCAAGTCTCATTCGAGGAGATACAAAAGGCAACTGATCAGTTCTCCCCAAATAATCTCATTGGCATGGGAAGCTTTGGGTCAGTTTACAGAGGAATTCTGAGCCCAGGTGCACGGCAAGTTGCAATCAAGGTCATTGATCTTCATCAACATGGAGCTGAGCATAGTTTCTTGGTTGAATGCCGTGCCCTGAGAAGCGTTCGCCATCGGAATCTTGTTAAGGTCATCACCGCTTGCTTGAGTGTTGATCACCAGGGAAACGATTTCAAAGCGCTGGTCTACGAGTTCATGCCGAATGGGGACCTTGACAAGTGGCTACACTATAGGCATGAGACACAAGATGTGGCACCGAGGAGGAGATTGACCATGTCTCAGAGGGACGTCGCTGGGGCTCTTGACTACCTGCACCACCATGGCCAGGTGCCTATTGTCCACTGTGATCTGAAACCAAGCAATGTTCTCCTTGACAGTGACATGGTTGCACATGTGGCGGACTTTGGTCTCGCACGATTCATTCGTAAGATGGTGAGCAACTCAGCAGAAGAAAGCAGCACTTCGATCGGAATCAAGGGCACCATTGGATACATCCCTCCAGGTACCTTACAATTCATTGCTTAATTTGTTCCTTCTACTGAGATATTTCTAACCAAATTAAATAAGGCTCTTACACTGTCTAGTGATTTGCTTAAACCTGCAGAGTACGGAATGGATGGCAGTGTTTCCATCCAAGGCGATCTGTACAGTTATGGCATCCTCCTGCTCGAGATGTTCACCGGAAAGCGGCCAACAGATGTCTCATTCCAGGGAGGCCAAACACTCCAGAGCTATGTTGCAGCCTGCTACCCGGACAAGATAATGGAGATAGTTGACCCTGTTCTACTGCCTCTGGATAACGGATATGTGAGCAAGGGGGACATTTCTTGTGACGAGATTGACGCTGAAAAGCTGCACAAGTGCATGGTATCGATCTTTCGAGTCGGTTTGCAATGCTCCCAGGAATCCTCCAGAGCAAGAATGCATATCAGGACTGCCCTCAAAGAACTTGAGACGGTCAAGGATGTTGTGCTGAACGACTGAGGAGATTGAACAGAGTCTCTCAGCAACAGAAACACAAGTATATACTGCAAAACATGACAATAAATTAACTGTTATGAATTAGTTTTGTTTGTTTGTGTGTTATATTTTTGGTTCGGTAGAAGTAGAATTTGCCATCAGAGATCTTATTGTTGTTGGTGATTGTATATGATGAGTGGGCCTGTACTGTTCTTTTTAGTATCTATGGCAGGTTGGTCTAGAAATTGTGATAAATGCATCAAAGGGGTAAGCAATGGTATATTTCAAAGATGTATGAAATTATAATGGCACTCTTCCAATATCGTGAATAGTAATGGTATATCTCGGAAACGCGATATTTGTAATGGTATGTATCCAATTAACCCTCATCATTTCCGTCACAGAATGTCCTTCTGATTTCCGGACAAGTTGCCTCTGATAGCAACTAGAATTCTGAACAATGAACCAATAGTTCTTCAGTTGCATACATTTTTAGCTGCACTTGGCAATCAAATACAATGTTGTTTACACAAATTACACTACAATCTTGCATAAACAATTGATAATTCCTTTTCCGGGTTACTGATAATTGGAACATGGTCAGCAAGTGTGACATCCTCGGTGTTACGCCCTAAAACAATTACTAAAACACGTCATGAGCATTATATTTATGTGGTAATGCATGTGATGAAATGAATAGATGAAGCATTGCAACTTAAATGATCAATAGAAATGTTAAATGAAAAGCTCTCCAATAACCTATGTCATTATCAAGTAGGGTTGTAAACCAATTTTTATTGAACAAAAATACTATGGAACACACATGTGACACTTAAATAAAGTTTGAAATATGAATTTTGTAGATGTCAATGAAATACTTGCTGTTGAAAAATGATATTGCTAGCTAGTGTTTCTATTAGCCTAGAAATGCAACTTAGAATCAAGTTCAGCAAGACTTGGAATAATTTTCAAGTTTGTTGACAGCTAGACATTACTATGTTTAGCAATTTATTTTGAGAAATTGGGTTAAGGAGAGGTGTGGTGTTTTAGTTCGGTTTAGTAGCCTCATATACCACCTTGAGTTTAGTGAAGACAGTTTAGGTTTAAAAGCAACGGTTTAGTCGTGGTTGATGCTTTAAAATCCGTGCATAGCACGTTTTTGGCTTGTTTCCCCGGGTAAGCGCGGTCACCACGCCTTAGGGGCACGATGTCGCCGTCTGTGCACACGCACGCGCGCGCCACCTGGCTGGCAGCGTGGGCCCTCCACGATCGCGTCTGCCCGTTTGGACCAACCGCCGCTTCTTTATCTCTTCGCCGCTCAGTCGCACGCGTGCGTAGAGCTCGCCGTTTGCACTTGTTTGCTCTTGCTCGACCCACCCAACTTTAAAGGAGGCGCTAAGCTTCAATTTGGCATGCCGCTCCACCACTGCTATAAGGCCGTGTCCGCGCTTGAAGCGGGCAGCTCCCTTTACCCGTCGAGCCAAATGATGCACCCGCCATCATCTCCCCTCTTCACCCTACGTCGAACCGCTCACAAGTGGCGACCACACACCGCCGTCGCCATGCCATTTATGGCACTCTCCGCCACTCTCTTCGCTAATGACTCACCGCGGTTAGCCACATGCGCTAGCTAGATGGGTTCGTTGATGCTTGTCGGCATCGCCGCCAGCCGCCAGATGGGCCTCTCACGATCGCGTTGAAAGATGGAGGCGCCCCGCCAGGTGGCGGTTGAAAGGGCAGAGATGCGGATTAGAGGGGGTGAATAGTCTTTCACCAACCAACGCGAATTAAAACAATCGGTCTAGCCCTACACCCTCTCTCTCTCTTCTCTAATTATGCAACGCCGCTAGAGCTCTCCTAAACAATTCTAGGAGCAAGGTCACACAAACCTATGCCACTAGTACATTAAGCAACAAGGGGCATGCTAGTAAGCAAAAGCACAAAGCCAACTAAGCTCACTCAAAGCTCAATCAAAGCCTAGAGAGCGCACCTTAAGCAATGCCTCAACGTTCCTCTCTAAGGGAGCTCTAGTAAGCTACACAAGCTAACCCACCCAACTTTAAAGGAGGCGCCGAACAAGCTTCAATTTGGCATTTGCCTCCGCTTAGTCCCCGTGTCGACGATAAGGCCGTGTTCGGCCGTGGAAGCGGCAGCTGCCCTTTCACCCGCCCGAGCCAAATTCACGCACCACACCACCGGAGATTTTCGCCTAGGAGGTGTCATCTCCTCTTCACCCCAACGCAACCCAACCGAACCACTATCACCTTCCCATCGCACAAGCATGGACACTAAGTCCCTTGAGGTGCGCGACACCCATCATGTGCGCCACCGCAGCGGTCGGGCCGACCGGACGCCGGCTGCTGGACGTGGCCAGACCCTCTCCGCCACGGACTCTTCGCTAATGATCACCGCGGCTAGGCCCACGGACGTGAGCGGCGTCCTGCTAATGCTCACTCGCTAGCTAGATGGGTTCGTTGATGCTTGAGTTCACATCTCGCGGCGGTCGCGCATCACTCGTCACAAGAACTTGCAGATGGCGCCCATCGCCGTGCCAACACCACCAAGTGTACACCATCATGTGTATGTGTGTTAGCTCACAATCATTTCCCAAAGGATGTTCCCATCATCCCCCACTCGATCCGCTACGAGGGTACCTAGTTGAACCATAGATGGAGGCCGCCCGACCATCCGACGGGCATAAACTTCTGTCGGCCCTAGGTGGACCAAATGAAATAAAATGCCCTAGGTTATACCTTTGCCTTGCGCATTCCATTCCATCCGCGTCATGATATCGTCATCATATTGGTTCATCGATCTTCGAACCGCCGAGGGTGCGCGCGGGTAAATTAGAGAAAGGCCGGGGGGTTAAGTGAGAGGGTCTGTGAGTAAGTAGAATAGTATTGGTCCTTGGTTGTGAATTAGGGAAAATGCATGGTCTCTTTTGCAAAAAAAACACTCAATTACCAAAACCAACAAGGGACTCTATGCCATGGCAATGGGCTGCACTGAACCATCATGGGCCATGTAAATTTAGAGAAAGGCCGGGGGTTAAGTGGAGAGGGTCTGTGAGTAAGTAGAATAGTATTGGGCGCTGAATTAGGGAAAATGCTCTTTTGCTACAGGACGTCAGGTGGGCCGCATGGGGGCTCTCATGGTGGGGCATGAGAATTTGGTTTGGTTTTTTTTTTCCAAGGAATTAGTAAATGGTTTTCTAATTTAATTTTGAGCTGATCTTTGGTAAATCATCTAAAATCATGTAGGTAGCAAAAAATTGTGAAACCAATTTTGTTAAGTTTCTAAAATTGTGCTCTATCTGTTGGTGTATTTAGTTCATGCTTATATATGTTGACATTATGAGCTATTAAATCGTTTGAGAATACCTAATATTATCAAGCTAATTATTGTAGGAATTTTTGTGGCCAAATGGTAATGACTTTAGCCTTAAAATTTTTACAGTAGCTTCATTGTATTATTATGTGCTCACTATAATTTTTGTAGCCTTAAAAAAGACTAAGCATTAGGGTAGTGAGATGCTCCTTGTTTCAATATACATTAAATCATTAGTAGGAATGAGGATATATCTTTAGTTGCTAAGTTAATACTTGTTAGATGAACCCTATACCTTGTTTGATGAAAATGATAGTTAGCTTAGTATCTTAGTCATTAGAGGTAGTTTAGTAGCTTAGTATGCATAGTCTTATTTTAAGAGTTGCTGTTGCTTAAGTACTAAATGTTGCATCATCATCGCATACATGTAGAGAATAAGTTGGTGGAGATAGTAACCATAGACGATCACGAGTTCGAGGAGATCATCGAGGAATACGAGGAGGAGATCCTCGTGAGGGAGGAGGTCCCAGAGCCACCAACGACTGACTCAGCTGACACCGCGCCTGCCCAAATCAAGCCCCGGTGCATAACCCTTATTTTTTATAATCACTATATATACATGTGTTGTGCATTTATGTTATAGAGATTTTAAGGAAACTGTGGCAGAACCATCTAATCTAATGCCTCCCACGAGTACTTGTCTTCCATTAGACACTAAGTACTCAAGGGAGGACACCAAATTACGCAGTTCCGTCGAGCACACCCTAGGGGAGAACCCGAAAATCCACATTTTTCATCAGGATCACAAATGAGAGAATAAAGCTTATATCATTATTAGCCATTTCTTACATCACTTTTCATACAATATCAGAGTATAATATTTATTGTTATAACAGCGGAATGTAATCATGTTGTTAGAGTTATGAACAATTTAATTTAACAGCGAAATATAAATATGTGATCAGAGTTATAACGGAAATATATAGCTATTCATGACATGATGAAGCATTGATATATAAATTATGACAACAGATTATAAAACTTCTATTTATAAAAATATTTGGTGAGGGTTATAAATAAAAAAATTATGATCGCAACGTAAAGGAATCCTCTCTGAGCCCACCAGGAGGGATCCACACACAAGAGTCAGCTCTAGCATCCGTCTGTCATCTGCAACAGGGGGAAATAAAACCCTAAGTACTCAATTGTACTCAGCAAGACTTACCCGACAAGAGGAAAGAAAAGACTCCAAGGATATGCAAGGCTATCTGGCTTGTGGGTTTATTGCATCTGCAGAAAGCATTACTAAGCATGCATCCTTATATTCAATTTTATTAGCAGTCATCATTAGTTCATTAACCAACCATTCTATGTAAGCACATGTGCTACTTTCAAGCAGGTGGTAAGCAATCAGATTTTTTTTTACCATCTTTTATCTTTTAGTTCTTACTATAGTGCTAGATTGTAGACAAGTCATACCAACAAGGCGGCGATTCGTGAATCAATGTGCCCAGCTGGGTACCTCGAAACACACGCCCCGCTTGTACCCTAAGCATAAGCAGGACCAACCCACTACTCTCCTGTCATAGGGTCTAGGTCTCCGTCCAAACTTGGACTTCAAGCCCCCGCCTCTGAGTCCCGGACTCAGTGCGGTGCTAGGACCTCCACCCAAAAATCACCCTGAAAGTCGGTCCGAA